GGTTCTTGTGCTTGAGGTCGTATTCCAATTATATAGATAGGTGCCTGTTTTCGGACATCTGCAGCTGTTTTGATATACTCTTGAGAACTTCCAGACCATTTACCCGTTGTGATAATAAGTACCTCCTATACAAATAGACCCAAGAAAATCCATTAGGATCTTTAGAAAGGACACCATTAGTACATCAATGACACTTAGCAACTGGGAAGCTGTTTTAAGAACTACCTAAAATCAAATCATCTCCTCAATTAACTTACCTTTCTTGCATTTGGTCGTGMGCCCAGTCGTGTATCAGTTAGAAGTCTCTGAGTATTCTTCAGTGCCATATTGACATTACGTCCAGTTCCTGTGCTACGTTTCATTCCATCAATATTTTGCTGTACAACTTGCACGTTGTACTTAGCTCCTGCCGATGGGAACTGGACAGCGATGGCGGAGTTGTCAGCAAAGGTGACAAATGCAAAGTGGGTTCCTTGTTGTGAGACATTGAAAACTCCAACGATCTGCTTTAGGAAGGCAATGAGGGCATTCCAGTTGACACCTGAAGATGAGTCTACCACAACAACTATATCTCGCACTTGTCCTCGTCCTATGGAAATAGAGAATTTTTAATAACACTAATGTCGATCCTCKTAGTTGGAGTTCCCTTTGTTTTGCTGAAATAATACGATGGAAAAGGGATTCTGGAAAAAAGTCAGTATTAGAAAATATGCAATTCAAGGTTAGAAAGGTCTAAAACTCTATCTGAATCATTTTGTGATTTTTTTTATTTGTTAGCAACACAACAGTGACAAATTTAAGATTGAGAAATATACTAACCTTGCAAAATGTCATCGGCAAGAGGTTGAGATAAGGCACCCAGGTTGTTCTTTCCTTCGTAGTTATAAGAGAAGTATGCATACCCTGGATAGGATGCTGTCCCTATGACCTGAGGTTTGGAGAAATCGTTCCCTATTCCAACAGAATATAATTGTATTCCACGACCACGAAGATCTTTTGCAACTTCTCCTGGATTTTGACCAACACCTTCTGGTTGAGCTCCCGTGGACAAAACAAGGATAACCTTTAGCAAGTTGACAATATCAGTTCACAAAATTAATCAAAAGAATAACAATKTTCACGTTAATTTAATAAAATGGCGTGAAGTAAAAGTCAGATTCACTTCAGAGTCAGTCTACTACTGAGCGCAGCAGTCCAGCGATTGACTTTTTGAAGTGGCCCACGTTAGAGGAGCGCAGACGCAAATTGGTTTTTAAACTTGTAAAGAAATGCCTGTCAGGTCACTGTCCCCAATACTTTAAAGAGTATTTTAAGCGTAATAGTGCAATCCATGCGCGTGCTACTAGACAAAGCAATTTTTTACATCCACCTGCTGTGAGGACCGAGATCGCAAAAAGATCTTTTTACTACTATGGTTGCACTCTTTTTAATGAATTATCCAAATAGAATTTAGTATTTATGCAAAT